GGCCTCACCAACTGTGCCAAAGCACTATATTGATGAACTACATTTTTTTTAGAACTATGTTCTACCTCTAAGTTGCTAAGTTGAACACCAAGGGGAATTCTGGTCCAGAATAATGGAATTAGGGCTGAGGATGTAGCTCAGAGTAGAGCACTTGTCTATCGGCACCACAAAAAAAAAAAAAAAAAAGAGAGAGAGAGAGAATGAGATAAAATAACACAAAACATGAATTGCTTTGAAAACAGGATTCCAACCTCTCCTGTGAGTAGCACAGCACGTGTCCACAGAGGGGGTAGACAGCATGTCCGAGTTCTTGGAAAGAAGGGAAGAGTGTTCCAGAACACCTACACAACTGACCCTCCATATCCCATGTCAGCATTGGTCAAATCCTGATCTGGCTGAGTGTCTGGGATTTCCCAGGTTGGTTCAACAAACTCAAAAATCTCTTGGTAGGAAGAGCGTGTGGGGGGCTGGGTGAGTCCTGGAGGAACTGTGATATACTCCAGAGAGGGACCCTCATTGGCTCAGCCCTGAGTACCAGGGAAGAGCAGAGTCCAGAAAAGACTAACACTCAGCAGTGTTAGTCAGGACAGGTTATGGGAATATGAGATGGACATCATAGGTGGACACGCCAAGTGCAGCACACAGCTGTGGCCTCCTCAGACACTTCCTCTCACACCCAGTGGCTTAGCCACAGGTGTGAGTTCAGGAGACATACAGACATGTACATGGATGGAAAATACACCAGGTCACTGTGGGCACTGGCAAGGCTCCCCTTCATCTCCAAACACAGTGACGGTGGAACCACAAGAACTCACCTGTGACATCCAGATGGAAGGAGACTCTCTGGCCCCCGGCCTCACAGCTGTACTCCCCAGCGTCCGTCTTGCCCACCTGCTGCCCCACCAGCTGCCGCCTGCGGCCAGAGGCCTCCACGGGCACCTGGGAGCTCTGGCTTAGCTTTTTCCCATCCTTGTACCATGTCACCTTTGTCTGGGACTGGGCCACCTCGCAGCTCAGAGTGGCGCAGGCCCCCGCCTGGGCTTTCACCTCGCTGCATGCAGGCTGCTTCTTGGCAAACAGGACCTTGGGCTCTGGGTAGAGAGGGAAAGGACACATAGGTCAAGGACTCCAGAAGAGACCCAGCCCTGTCTCACAGCCCAAGCCCACCTCAGGGATGGCTGAGCAGAGTGTCCATCATGAGGAGAACATTGCATGGCCATGCCTAAGTTCTATCCTACAAATTACCCAAGCTGCAAACTGCAAGGCTGGTGAGTAGACAGCTGGGCAGCCTGTCCTCATCAGAGCCCTAATCACTTTCTGATCCACTCTGATCCTGCAGGTAACTGCACTGTCACAGCCCACAAGGCCACCACAGCCAGGCCTACCTCCTGATGCCAACACCCTCCCAGCTGTTGGGAATAGACCATGACCCTTCTCCTCCCTGGAACCCCAGCCCATCAGTGACTTCCCAGCTCTCCCATCATGCAGGGAGCACAAAAGCAGGGGGAGGCAGACATAGCAGGGAAGTCCA